GCCTGAACCAGTAAAATCTGCTGGCAAACTGTTTCCCTCTAGTGGGCAGCTCTCCTTACAGATACGAGCGTAGGGACGGCTCAGAGTTAACCATGTTATTCGTTCACACATATTTTAAGCAGAGGGAGGTGGTCTTTGGGGCTCTCATCCAGCACTAGACCTGAAGCGGAAGTCAATTATGTCATAAATTAATAGAATGACATCGGTAGGAAACACTGAAAAATGTAGTCCAACTTTCCGTATGTCCACAGGTCACCGCATTTTACCTAGCGAGCGCTCTCCTGAGCCCATCAACTTGTCTTTGGCTAAAACATGTCCGACAGAAAAGCACCCAGTCTTGATTTGAAGACAACAGGTAATGGGTAATCCCTGCACTGCCCTTTGTATTTGATCTCAATAGCAGCTGCTCTCAATATGAAATGTTTATGCTTTATTTCCAATTTGCCTTGATTTGGTTTCAGTTTCCAGCCATTGGCTCTTCACTAGACTGAATTACCCTGCACTTCCTGCCCAGGATGGTACTCGTACATGGTAATCAAGTCACTTCTCAGTCTTCTTTTTGTTAACTAGATGTATTGAACTCTCCAAGTCTCTCTCAATCACGGCTTTCTTCTTAATCCATCAAAATTATTTTGGAGCATCTTTTCTGCACCTTGTCCAGTTTGTAACCTCCTTTAAAAAAAATAACTGTCTACAGTGTTGGTCTCTGTAATGCTATGTGCAAAGGTCCAATCTCCTACCTTGTCAGTGCTCCCATTATATACTGCCATAGGGATTGCAGTAGCATGGTTTTCAACAGAAGCAGGTCAGCAGCTTGACCACCCTCGGTGCAGACCAAGATCCTCTGTGACCTACGTCCCTTGTAATGAGCACATGAATTTCCATTTGCCGATATTCAAATGTTTTCTGTTTTCTTTGGCTGAGTGGCCTGTATGACTGACATGTCCTCCACACTAATTTGCCACTCCACCAATCTTCATGTGATTTGTAAATGTTTATCAGCAGTGATTTTATATTCCCTTCCAAAACCTTTGAGGAAAATGACAACCAACATTGCATCTCACACCAATCTCTGCTGAAGCCCACTGGAGACATGTTTGTCTAATTGCAGTTCCTGATTGACATCCACGTCTTGATTTAGCTGGTTCTTAATCCATTTAACAGTTGACTTGACCCTGCTGCATTTGCACGATGTTTCAAGTCAAACTGTTGAGTGATATTAAGTCAACTGACTTGCATAAGTCTAAGAGCTCAGGCACACAAACAAGGTAAAAAGAGTTGGGGCCATTGGCTGGTCTACATTTTGGAAAAGGGGGTGCACTAGTCACTACGAGATCTGGCTCACCTGGAGAGTCCAGGCACCGGGATCTGAGCTTAGAGCAGGAGTGGGCAATTATTTTGGCTAGAGGGCAGTTTAATATGTTTTGATGAGCTGTCGAGGGCCACAAGGGTAGCCCCACCCCTTGACAGGTGCCCCACCCCCTGGGCTGCCATCTTAGGACCAAATGTCCTGCCCCTAAATCCCTGACTTTTGCCAGAGGAAGTCCCTCCCCTTGGCCCAGAGGCACTCCTTTTGGGAGAGGGGGAGGCTGCCATCTTGGAACTGGAAGGGAAAAAAATCATATACTGCCCAAACAAAAAACAAAACAAAAAAAAAAAAAAAAAAAAAACCACATTTACTATAACTTATATTAATGTTATTTTTAAAAATATTTTGTCCTGATGTGTCTGTGTTTGTATAATATATCTGTAGACAATTACATAACAGGTCAAAATATAGTCTTACTTATATATTGTGTACAGGGAGTAAGGGCATGTATGTGGGGGGACTGGGGAGTGGGTATGTGGGGTGTGTGGGTGGGGACTGTGCAAGGGTGTGGGTGTGTTTGGGGGTATGGTGGGGGGTGTGGGAGGATGTGGGTGTCCTTGGAGTCCCTGGAGCTGTGAGTGATGGCAGTGAGTGGGGTCAGCCCCACCCGGCCCCATAGCATGCAGCTCCCCACACTCCCATCCCCTTTTCTCCCAGTGGAAGTCCCTGTCCCCACCCTGTGGAGCCTGTACCCCACTCTTGCAGGCAGGAAGGCTGGGAACAGCTCCAGGGGGCAGCCACAAGTTCTACCAGGCAGAGGCTCCTTGCCTCCCACTCCCCTGGCCCGGGGCTGGGCTAGGCTAGGTCAGGCCAGGCTGTGGGTGGTGATGGCTTAGCAACTGAAGTTGCACCTCCTGTATGGAGGCTCTGGCTTGCAGAGGGCATCAAGGGCTAGGGCTGGATGGAATAGCCTAGGGGGGCCAGATCTGGCCCATGAGCCATATTTTGCCCACCCTTGGTTTAAATCATGGGGCAAAATGTGGCTGGAGTCCCCAGGCCAGTGGGGGACACCCTGGAGGCCTCGGCAGGGAACAGATGCAGGAAGGGGGGACCCACCTGCTGCTGCCTCTGTCCTTGGCCAACCCAGGTTGGGGGGCCCAAAGCCACTCCTGTCCCACTCCAGCCAGCTGTGCAGCACGCCAGGCTCAGCTAGGGACAGCAGCCATAGTGGGTAGTCCCCCGCTTCCTGCACCTGCTCCCTGCCTTGTCCCCTACTCATCTCCCCCACCGGCTCCAGCCATGCCCTGCCCCAATCCCCCAGCGGCCTGAGCGCGATCGCTGCTGCGTGGACACTACAGGGCACCCGGGACTGTGGGGGTGCGGAGCTGCTGGCGCGTCTCCCAGCTCCAATATAAGCTCCACGCAGCGCTTGGCAAAGCATCTCAAAAAACTGCATAAAAGATGTGGAGACTTGATTTTCTTTTGGATAAGGTTCTGCTTGATCATCTCCAAGAAGAACAGAAAACTGGGAAGGGTTTCACTTCCAGCAATGCGTCACACTCGGATCCTTCCATCTTTTTCACTGTCCATGGGCTTTAAGCCCAATCAGGTAATTAGATAGCATCCGGCCTTGAGGCCTATACAGCAGTTGTCAGAGCCACTGCCCTTCCCACTAAGGCCTGCTAGAGTCAGCGAGGTCTGCTGGACTTCAGCACCAAGTAAACAGATGCAAAAATCAGAGAGCTTTCCCCAATAACTTCTTCTGATAACTGCCTTAGCTGTCACTTGTAAAGATAGTAGGGGGAAACTCTCTCAGGCAGAAGGTGATTTTCAAGCAGATGCCTGTTTAATCCTTAAAGCACTCTTACTACAGCACCTATTATCTCTGTGGGGAAACTGAGATACAGGCAGGTTAAGTGATTATGGAAAAGGTCACACAGCAAGTTGCTGCAAAGCCAGGATTAAAACTCTGGAGCATCCTCCGGTCCATGCTCTGACCACTGGAAAAAGCTGCGTCTCAGAGGAAGATGTCACCTGCCGCTGGAGAGTTTATGCCATGCTCATGCCTGGAAGATGAATCATTTTGATGGTCTGCTTATTCATCCATCTGTCCACAGAGAAAAGCTAAGCAGGGTGATTGGCGTAGGGATGCTTGTCAGGGAGGGTTTGCACAAGCACAGCGGTCTGCCCCGTAGGTCCGGTCCAAAGGAAACTACTGGTTCCCCTAAGTCTGGTTTTGGTTTCTATGTGCATGCCACGGAGACTTACTTGTAAGAGATACGGATGTGGCACGTGAACAGGAGCTCAAGCAGTCAGTGCTGTGTGCGAGAGCTTTCTGCACCCACCAGCAAGGGGAAGGGACGTGCACGCGTTGTGCAGCGCTGACAATGCACAGCTGGATACAGGAGGCTGAAATGGATCTGGGCACTTTGCCTTGCCCCGTGAAGCACCCTGGAGGGATGCCATGGTCAAGCACGTCACACTGCCTGCACTCGCTCATTATCACTTCAGCAGTGAACACACACACGCACATCTGAGATCATTAATTGCAATTAAATGTGTACTCCAGGAAACTGCCTGACAGCAGTTGGAGGATTCCCAACCCCCGGCATTCTCTGCATAACCAGGGGATGACTGCAAGTATCAGCAGAGGGACTGGTAATTATAAAAGCGAACGAACAAACAGCAATTTATCAAACAGGCCTTCTGAACCCTGCTAGTGGCAGGTTCCAGAGAAAGGCTCCTTTCATGGAAACAGTGGGGCACGCTTCCTTGGAAAACTGTGGGTGTGTGTGTGTATGTGCACGCGTATGTGTGAAGACAAAGAGAGCATGCACCAATCCTACATAAATATATAAAGCCAATTTCCTGTGCTGTGGGTTGACATTGCTCCATGCCATTTCTAGCCCAGGCCCCTGTCTGACTTCTAAGCTACTGTCTCTCTGCTGCTCTGACACTAGGTTAAGAACCAAAAAGGGCCCACAGTAGGTAGGACTGGAGGAAGAAAGACCACTCTGCAGCTCCCAGCCCTGTGGCCCTGCATAGCATCTTCGTCAACGGCATTGTGACAGGAGGGATGTCAGGGTCACCGTGCTCTACCCTGCTGCCTCCTTTACCGTGCCAAGTTGTCTTCTTGCACCCTCCAATTCTCGCCCGTCATGTCTTGGATGTTATGAATTTTTTTATACGGAGGCTACCTTCAGTCCTCTTGGTCACGGTCCTCCTGTCTATGGTTGTCTCATGCACCCAAGCCTTAAGGGCTATGTGTGGCTCCCACCACCCCAATACCATGCCCCAAGCCTCGCAGATGTAAAAGGGATGTTGTTCCGTCCCTCTCTCTCTCTCTCTTCGCGCCCTCTCCGCACGCCGCCCCATCTCTCGCGCCCTCTCCGCACGCTGCCCTTCTCACAGGGCTCTTTTCTCTGCAGCGCAGCCCTCTCCCAGGGCTCTTCTCTGGAGCTGGGGTCTGTACACCCCGAACTGTGCCCCCGCTGGGGCTGGGGGCCTCACTCTACCGTGAGTCCCCTATGAGGCCTCCTCCATCCCCTTGTAGCCTCACCCAAACCACCGGTGTAAACAAACAAAGCAAACACAAGCCCCTAGGCCATAACTGAACTGAACACTGCCCGGCTATAATCACGTTACCAAAATGTCCCAGAGCTGCCCTCCTTAACCCTGCTTTGAGCAGTACCTGCAGTTCTTGCATCCTTGCTCAGAGAGCTCTTTCTGCCTTGGCTGCTGGCAGGGAACTGCCTCTGGCCTCCTGCCTGTGGTTTATATAGGAGCCAGGCCCTGCCCCTTCTGGTCAGCTGGCTAGGCAGGTGCGGATCATTAGCTCCCTCTAGTTGCCTCAGCAACCGGCACCTGAGGAGTCTTCCTGGCTCTCTCAGTAGCAGGCACCTTAGTGTCCTGCTACAGGCATGATTAAAATGCTAGTGTTCATCATCAGTGACCATTCCTGTTTATCCAACACCCTCGTCTTTCCTGCTGCATTGAAAGACTGCACCCTACCAATGGTTGCAATGCACTTCCATTTTAAACAGCGCTCACTGACCCCTGGGCTTTTCACCTTTGGCTGCACAAATTCAATGCAGGTCAGTGATGGGTACAAAAAAAAAAGGTACATCACTATTCATGGCCTAGCACCTTTTTAACCCTGGCTTCTTTAAAAGACGGTCATTTTAAGAGGTAAACCCTGGAATCTAAATGCTACATGCACCAGCTATGAATGGATTTTTGCTTGGAAAAAAAACTGCATGCAGCCCCTGCTCAAGCTCTCGCACCCACGGTCCTGCGTGCAGCCCCTGCTCAGGCTCTCGAGCCCTCTAGTCCTCCTTAGCCTGCTCAGAGCTCATGGACCCTCTGGCTCAGCTCAGCCTTTTCCTAAGCTCCTGGACTCCTCCTGGGCCCCAGTCTCAGTCTCAGGGCTCCTGAGTTATTGGTTCTCTAAATAGGCCTTTTCCCTGTCACCGCAGGGCTCAATGCTAAACTACCAGTACTGTTTAAATAAGCACGAAGCATCGCCACCCTCTGGCAGACACCTCAAACCCTCTAGGATTTAACATAAAACAAAGGGCAGTTGCCTGTAAACCCAGTCTTTCACTGCTGAAGGGAACTGGCCTTGCTCCCAGGCGTGCAGAGTTGTTTAGCTAAATCCAGGTCCGTGCAGGAACCCTGCTGCCAGGAGCAGCTCGCTTTGTGTTTTCAGGGAGAGACGCCTTGATCGGTGAAGTCTCTGGGCTTATAAAGCTCCAGCCTGAGCCCTCTTCCCATCAAGTGAGTCCCTCATTAGCTCCCCTCTGCCACCTGCAAGCAGCTCACAGGATGCTTGCTGTCTTCAAGGAGGAGGCACATCCCAGTGCCTTGCTGCACCCATGCAAATCCATTGATCAAACTTTTAAGTAAAATGCAACGCATGGCATAAGACCTGAACCTGCTGCAGATAAAGTAGGGGGACCATGGAAACCAATGCCCTGTTGCTACAAGGTTTGTTAATATATGCTCAAGACATATGCCCAGATACAGGACCAAAGCCTTCACTGCAGAGGCAGGCAAAACCCCCCAAAGTCTGTACCAATCTGACCATAGGGTAAAATTCCTTTGTGACTCCAAATACAGGGATCAGTCCAACCCTGAGCAAAGGGGCAAGACCCTCTAGCCAGAAACCTGTGGGTTTAAGTCAGGACCCCTGGCACTTGCCTCAGACACTGCCTCGGCTTCGCTGGAAGTTCATCAAAACTGGCGCATTGGTGCATTGCACAAAAAAAAATTTGCACCGTGATGAATTGGCATTTTCCAATGGATAACCATTAGCCAGGAAATTCTCAAGCTGGTCTAATGCTAATGTCGCAGCTCTTGGAGCTCAGCAGGAGCTACTAGTAAATAGGGCACTTGTGCACTTCCTTTTTAATAGTCCCACTTTACGGTCGTTGTCTGTGACACGCTGCCACCTGGTATTAGTCCATCAGCAGCAGGAAAGGAAATTAGCAAGCAGCCACAATCCGAAGGCAAGGCAGGCTGCGCGGGTGCAGCTGAAATGGTATGTAAGCCCCAATATCTTTCTACCTCAGGCACTCATCACATTCAGATCTTGTTCAACAGAGAACTTAGACAGGTGCTAAATAGCTTAATCAAGTGCTCCACATACACTCTAACGAGGTACGGTAATGTCTATGGATCTTTAAGCGCTGTAATTGCTAACAGTTTCAAACTGTCACCTCTTTGACCTCTCCCTCCTCTATCCCATTAGATAGATTGATAATGCCTCTATCATATTCCCCCAAATGGGTGTTCTCTCATAATCGAGACATGTCTGTGTCACAAGTCTTAGTTAAACCTTGATTAAGAAAGTGTGGTTGCTTTTCCAAATAGGAGTCCTTGATTTTCATCCAAATCCTGACCCAGGTGCTGACCGGAGTATACAGTTTGAACCCCTGGGGTGCAAAAGATGGATATGCCTCACCCTACAAGAAACCCAGCTTGGAGAAGGATATACCGACCTCCTAGATTTGGGGCCCTGGGCATCGCGTGTTGTCCTAGCCCCGAGTAGTGCTCCTGTGCCTCTACAGCGTCACAACCCTCCTCCAGGTGCATTTTATTTTGTGACGAGATCTGGTACTGGATAGTCGCAACCTGCTCAAATACTGCATTGATACCAAATGCAAGCAAATTGAGGGTTGGGGAGGAAGTTTGTTCAGCAAGCATGCTTGCCTGCTTGTGAGCCCTGGGTGTGAAGTGCCCTGTCACTTGACAACAGGACATGGAGGTTCTTTTAACTGATTTCAGTTCTAATAGTGTGGTTTTTCACCACGCATTTTAGTGATCGGAGACACAGAAAGAGAGAAGTGTGACTCTCTGTGGCTAGTGATAACTCTCTGTGTCCTGTAGCTTCTTCTGTTTTGTGAATATAGACAGCAAAAGCTTTTTGCAGCCCCTGGAAGTGTAGGGACTAAAATGCACACAATACACATCCCTTTCAAAGGTCCCAAATGCCCGCTCACTAGAGATTAGCAGGTCTACCTTGAATCTCTCACACCCACACATGGTGTGCATTTAGGGCTGTGCAAATCGCTGCCTCCCCTCTCCTGCTGACAGAAGGAGTGACAGGGCCAATGAGCACACCTATAATGCCCAACGTGAGACAGCATGCCTGAGGCCTCTGCCATGAGGCAAAAATTGGAGACACCCCACCAAAAAAAAAAGGGAAAAGAGAAGTCTCCAACAGAAATGCCATTTCACCTAAAAGGAAAAAATAGTTTGGAGAAGGTGGAAGACTGAGAAGCGAAGGGACAGCTTTACAGAAGAGCCTCCATCCCCTTATCCCATTGCTGCGGTATGAGTGCACATGCATGCGCAGCCACAGTGCGGGAACCGTGGGGGTCAGTCCTCTCCTGGGCCTGGTGGGAGGAGAACCCACGTCCCCCACATCCGTGGAGTGCACCCAGAGGGGCTGGCTCTGGGAAGCAGGGCTTTCCCTGACTCTTCTTGATCACAATGCTCCTGTGTATATCCAGATGTTCACTAAGCTAGAACTAGGTGCCCCATCTCTCACGAGGGTGTCCTAACCCCCAGGCTAGGGTCACTACATGCTCATATTATACACAGAGTGCAATGACTGCAACAGCAAACACAAGTAGTCTGCCAACCCCAAAACCACCTGCAGCCCACGGGTCAAAGCAGCCTCTTTGGAGGAGGAGGAGGGCTCCCACATCTGGGTGAAAGAGTCACAGAATCACAGACAAGGAGGGTTGAAGGGAGCTCAGGAGGTCACATCTAGTCCAACCCCCTGCTCCAAGCTGCCCCACCTCCAACTCCATCACCCCAGCCACGGCTTTATCTAGCTGGGTCTTAAACACCTCCAAGGATGGAGACTGCACCACCTCTCTGGGTAACCTGTTCCAGGGCTTCACCACCCTCCTCGTGAGATTTTTTTCTTAATATTCAACCTCAACTTCCCTTGCTGCAGCTTGAGCCCATTGTTCCTTGTCCTGTGGTCTGCCATCACTAAGACCAGCCCAGCTCCATCCTCTTTGCAGCCCCCCTGCAGGGAGGTGAAGGCTGCTATTCAATCCCCCTCGGTCTTCTCTTCTGCAGACTAAATCAGCCCAGGTCTCTCTGCCTCTCCTCACCAGTCCTGCCCCCAGCCCCTGAACCATTTTCATTGCCCTCCACTGGACTCTCTCCAATGTGTCCACATCCTTTCTGTAGTGGGGGGTCCACAGCTGGACACAGGACTCCAGATGTGGCCTCCCCCGTGCCGAATAGAGAGGAAGAATCACTGCCCTCCATCTGCTGGCAATGCTCCTACCAATGCAGCCCAGGATGCTGTTAGCCTTCTTGGATTTACTTGGAGTCCATGCCTTGTTTTTTCCTGCTACCACAGACCTCTTCCAGTCTTGGTCTGGGATCCTAAGCACCAGTCATCTCTGGTTAGTATCTAGCATACAGCTTTGTTACAGAGATAGATGGGTGGCTTTCAAATGTTGGTGCAGACATTTCTTGTGAGACCAGGTGAGTAAAAAAAAAAAATCCTTTTTCAGATATGTAAGGAGTCAGAAAAAAAAATC